GAGGTCGGGAGGGTCGGGGACCGGCCTCGTGCGGACAGGGTCTTGAGCACGCGGGGGCGGCTGGTGTGTGTGATCTTGGAGCCCCTGGTGGAAGGGGCAGCCCATGTGTCCGCGTGTGTGTTCGTGCCCATGCTCGTGTCTCCTGTGTGTCGGTACCGTGTGCACACGGGGGCCCAGTTCCTCGTGCACACATGTGCAGCCAGCCTTGTGCAAGTGTGTCCTGTCTTATCCTGCCCCTGCCTGTTTCCTGCCTAGGGGGCTGTTGGGCCAGCCATGGGCTTGTGGGGCAGTTCGTGGCCATGCTGGTCCATGTCACCTCTGACCCTGAGCATGCATATCCCTGGCTGGGGCTCACCTCCTGTCAGCCTTCTGTGTGTGGGAATGTGTGGCCCTATGAGCAGGATTTTCTGTGTCCCTGGTGGCAGGTGTGTGTCTTTGCATGTGTGTTCCAGCACTGGCCTGAGTATCTGTGTCAGTCCCAGCATGGGTGTCCAGGGCGTGTCTGGATGTGGGTGGTGTGGCGGGGGGGAGTGTGTGAATGTGTTCCTTGGAATCCTACTGTGTATGAAACACCTTGGGGCCGGGCAGGTGTAAGCCCTGCTTGGTCAGTAAGTGGGGACAGAAAAGCTCAAAAAGGGAAAAAATGGGGTAAAGAGGAAAAGTGGGGAGGGAATAGAAGCGAAGGAATGAGAGAGGCTTGAAGAAGAGAGCAGAGAGCAGGCCAGGGAGAAATAGCTGGAGAATGGGAATGTGGGAGAAAGCTGAGCCAGACTTAGGAGAGAACAGGGGATAAGAGCTTAAGATGGGGAACTAGATAGAGATAGTGGGAAAAGAAGGGGTCTGGGAGCTGGGAAGGCAGTGGGGAGGAGAGAGTCAGGCCTTCTGGTAAAGTCGTCTCTGAAAGAAGAAAGGGAAGAAGATGGAGAAGGCATTGGATTCTTGTAGGCCTTGTAGGATCAGGCTTGGTTTTGGATCAGGGAAGGCCACTCAGGCATACGGGCTGGCTCACAGTGAGGCCTGTCATGGCAGGGACTGTCATTAGAGGTTCATATGCCCAGCACAGAGCTCTGTCTCCCATTTCTCTGCTTTGTGTCCAACCGTGTTCTTCGCCCTTCTCTGGCAACCTCCCTCCCCTGGCTCCCCTTGAGAGCTGCCAGCTGGGTGTGGAGAGGAAGAAAGGCCAAGGAAAGGTTAGGGATTTGGAGGGCAGGGGGAGATTCTGTGGGTGATGGCAAGATTAGAGATGTTGGAGGGGCAGGAGTCCAAGCCCTTGCTGTGTGTGTGTGTGAGTGCCATTGTGTGTGTACACAGGGTGTGTACATGTGTGGGTGTGTGCACAATGCCTGTGTTACGGGTTTGTGTAGGTGGCTGTTATGTGTGTGCATGCGTGTATACATCGTGCAGGCATGGGACATGGAGACCCAGGATCACAGTTTATGCTTTTCAGGTTTGCTATGTGTGTGTATACACGGGTGTGTGTTATTTTCTCTGTACATGTCACTGCATGCAGCACTAATAACAGGATGTTCAGTGTTTCTGTCACTCTGTCCCCCTTTCCTCTGTGTTTCTGCTATTCTTTTCCTGCGGCAACAAAAGTCTTTAATAAGCGTATGTGTATGTGGCCTCTGTGTTCCTGTGACTTATGAGTGAGTTCATGGATCTTAATTCTTGATAATATGTGTAAGGTTATATTACTTCCAAGAACCAAGCAAGCCAATTAGCAAATTTGTTCTTCTGTTAATGCTTTAGTTCCAAAGCAGAATTTTAATGCATTTAAAGTTAGACTTTATGTCTTTATTAGATGAGCTTGCACATGAAAGTAATGGCTGAGCTCGGTTCCCTGAAATGAGAGTGAGGCAGCCATACCTGAGAAATGCAGAAAAATGTTACTAGGGAAGAGATATCCTGAACCATTGGATGCACTGCTTAGTGTGTGCCAGAAGGATAATTAACACATTTGCTCCTGGTTTTTCTTTACTCTGGTGGCAATCTTGGATGCCTGTGTTAGAGTGAGAGAAGGGCTGGGGGAGGAGAGGGGGTTGTCCTGAGACAGAGCGGATATGGTTGTACTTTTCACGTGAATGAAAGGATGTTTGTGCTTCTGAGATATGGGGATACCTTTCTGTGGTCAGGATCATGGTGTACTCAAGCATGTATTTCAGGGGTTAAACTGGAATTCCCCTGCATGGGGATATGCGCGTCTTAGGGTTATAGGTCCATTTCTGTAGTGTGCTGTCCACATGATTGCCCAAGAGACTTGGGCCACAAAGTCCACACGAGCAGCTCTCATGTGGGTAACTGGGTTCAAGTATGTACTCCCTTGTTGTAGTACTCACATATGTCAAAGCATGTATCCTGTGGGGTGTGTGGGCCTTAGGGTCTCAGAATGTGGATCCGTGCTATGCCCGTGCTCACAGTTGTCTGTATGTCTCAAAAGCACATAGATCCCCAGTTATTTTTTTGTATTGTGGTTCTCATATACACGTACCACTACAGCTCAGTGTATGTTTCTGTACTATACACCTGTTCCTGAGGGAGTGATAGGGTTCTCGTGTCATGGGGTCCACCACCTGGGTTTTACAGGTAAAGGGGAGCTGGGGACTGATTCTAGGGCAGTTTGCAGGCAATTTGCAATTCTGGAAGCAGACAGTGAAAATATAATTGTGGTCCTCCCTTGTTCTGTTCTGGAACCTAGAGGGTTAACAGGCAGCTCTTCCGGTCCACCCCCCTCCTTCCAGCCTGTAGCTTCTTGTTGCCGTGGAGATGCTGGCCCCGCCCCTGATGCAGCACCTGCCCCCCCATTGGCTGCAGTGGTGACTGTGGGGCTGAGGGGGGAGCCCAGGCCTGGGCAGCCATTCTGGAGCTGGAGCCGGAGCTTGGCATCCCCCCACTTACATTCTCTTCCAGCCCCTCGGCCCCTCTAAATTCCCTTATAGCCGAGCCTCAGCTTCCTTTTTCAGAGCTTGCCATCCCTCTAGGCTCTTGGCAGGCTGAGCTGCATCCGCATTCACCTCCCCTCCTCCTCCTCTCCCTGCCCTTACTTGGGAGTCCCCAGAACCCCCACTGCCCATCCTTCCTGTTTCCTGCCCACTCCCCTGCATTCTTTGCTTTTCCCCTCCCCCACCTTCTGAGCCCCTGCCACTGCAGTGCACGTGGAACCGGCTCCTTCTCCCCTCCCCCCACCTGCCCCTTCCTTGGATTTTCTGTCCCCGGCTTCTTCCCCTGCTACTCTTCACAGGTCTCTTCCAAGACCTCCCCCTCCAGTCCAGGGAGGGGGTCATGGGAGGCAGCCCTGGCCCTCCAGACAGACAGGGGTTCCAGGAGGTGGGGGGCAGATGGAAGATGTGTCCAGCAGGGGGAAGAGGAAAGCCTGCCTATGGGCAATGACCTTTAACCCATCTTTCCCCCCAGCTGGCCCCTTCTGGGGTGGGTGGGCACCAGGGACCTAGCCTCCATCGATCTTTGGTGTCCTTCATTACTGGGGTTTTACTGACCCTCTCAGCCATGCCCCCCTGCTGACTGCTAGCCCCAGTCATGGGCCTAAGGCCTCCCACCCCATCCCCCTCAGGGGGCTCCTGCTCAGGTTCCTTGCCCCCTCCTTCCCGCTGCCAGCCTCTCCGCCGTCGCTGCTCTTCCTGCTGCTTTCCGGGGGGTAGGTGAGGCCGGAGCTGAAGGGCAGAGGGAGGTGGGGGCATGCACTGGGGTCAGGGGTGGGAACCTGGGTTAACAGCTTCCCTCCTGGCCCCCTCCCCAACTTCCCTTCTGGCCCTTTTCTCCCCTCCAGAATACCACTTGGGTCGCTCGAGGAGGAAGAGTGTCCCAGGGGGGAAGCAGTACAGCATGGAGGGCGCCCCTGCTGCGCCCTTCCGGCCCTCGGTGAGTGGTGCCTACCAGATGTGGCTCAGCTGGGCCCCCTCCCCTCCAGCCCCAACTCGGGCCCTAGGAGTCTGAGAAAGAGGGCAGGAGGGGGAAAGAGGGAGTGAGATTGAGAAAAAGTGTGTGTGTGTGTGTGTGTGTGTGTGTGTGTGTGTGTCTCCCCACCTCTTTGGTTTCCCCCTTCTTGGCTCTGCCCCTCTGCTTCTGAGACTAGCCCTCCCACTTTCTCCAAGCTGTGTGTGTGTGTGTGTGTGTGTGTGCACGCGTGCTTGCACTGTACCTGTGGGAGCAAGGAAGACAAACTGGTATTAGGGTTCCTATCCCCCTTTCCTCGCCTCTGGAGACTTCCCTTTTCCCCATCCCACTTTCATCCAGGGACTATCTACCAGCTGAGGGATGAGTAGGTAGAACTGACCCTGCCCCAACCCACCCCATCCCCATTTCCCCCCCAGCAAGGCTTCCTGAGCCGACGGCTAAAAAGCTCCATCAAACGAACGAAGTCACAACCCAAACTTGACCGGACCAGCAGCTTTCGCCAGATCCTGCCTCGCTTCCGAAGTGCTGACCATGACCGGTACAGGGGCTGGAGCATGTGGGATGAGATCGATGTAATGTAGGGTCTCTTGTGTGAGATGCAGAGGGAGGGGGTTATCTGTGTGCAAAGGTTGAAGGATTCAACTCAAGTTGGTTGGGGGATGTCACGGGGCAGGGGACAGAACAGAAAATAACTAGAATAGGGATCTGTGAGCAGCAGGAGAGGGGTAGGGTGGCAGAGGGAAGACAGACAGAGAGGCTGGAAAGGGAATGAAGGTGAAGCCAAGGAGTGACTCCTCAGGGACTACTCAGGCCAAGAAGGATGGGCTCTAGCCCAGGATCAAAGGAGCTGTACAGGAGGAGAGTGACCCTGGAGGAGCGTTTAAGGAATGCAGGGAAGGGGTTGGTAGGTCAGTGAGCAATAGGCTCTAGGTGGAAGGGTGTCAGGGAAGGTCAGGAAATACAGGGCAGCAGGTTGGAGCGGGGCTGGGGGTGGCTGAATGAATGGATGATGGCTAGGGCTCAAGGACCTCATCAGTGAAGGAAGAGACAGTATAGAGCATGGCAGAGAAGGGGAGGCTGGGACAGGTGTGCAGGGTGACAGAATGGGGAGCAATCCATGGACTGAGGCATGAAGAAGCAGCCTGTAGAGATGTCCAGAAGGCAGTGGCCCTGAGGCCAGGCTGAAGGAGACCTCCACTGTTTGCCTTTGTTGCCTGCCATTTGGGGTTCCTATCTGGGTTTCCCCCTCACCCAGTCACTCCCTAGGGAGAACCATGCCCTCCCTTTCCACCACGTCTGGCCACCCACAGGATTGGGCAGGTAGGGAGGTTGGGATAAAGTGAGTTACACCTTTCCCTGCCCCCCTCCCATGTTGCCAGAGCTGGATTTGGGGCCGGCAGGGGGTGAGGGCATGGTATTCCTGGCCGCGGGGGCGGGGGGGCCGGGGGCCGGGGGAGCGTCGCGCTGACGGCAGCCAGAGCCTGCGATGACGGGGCTGCTATAAATAACTTCTTGGAGGCTCCCACACCCGAGCTCCCCTCCCGCTTTCCCACTGCTCTCTACTCTTCATCCCCTGCCCATCTCCATACCGCTTGCTGTCCTACCCCTCATTATTCCATGCCCCCAGTCCCCTTTATCTTCTGCCCTCCTGCAGTGATTTTTTTGCATTCCATCCCCTCTTAGCCCCCACCTCGGTTCTCCTGGCCACCTCTCCAGTTGGCCCTCCTCCTCTTCTCCTGTCCTCTGTCTTGCTGCACATACCTTTGTCTTCCCCTTTCTCCTTGCCCTACCTTCTCTTCTTCCCTAGTCCCCATATTCTGTCTTTTATCCTCATTCAGCTCTTTTTTGCCCTCAGCTTTCTCCTATTTCATATGCTTTTCGCTCACTCTTTCCCCTGGTTCTGCTAAAACTTGTCCTCTTATGCTATGTTCATTCATTCTTTGAATCATTAAATGTTTATTAGGCACTAGCTGTGTGCCAGGCCCAGGCTAGACATATCTCTTCTCTGTGCCTTCACTTCTTTACTTCCACTTTTTCCTTTATACTGAGGCTCTGGTTTCTGGGGTTACCTGGAGGTACTACCTAGAAGTGCCCCAGGCCCACTTTGTTCTCTCCTTTTTTTTTTCTTTTCTGCCATGGTCCATTTCTGGGTTGAGATATTTCTAGGTATCCCCAGTCCTCACAATCCCTTAGGTGTGAGATGGTTGGAGTTTCTTTTTTTTTTTCCTTTTTTTAAAAATAGAGATAGGGTCTCACTGTGTTGCCCAGACTGGTCTCGAACTTCTGGGCTCAAGTGACCCTCCCACCTCGGCCTTTGAAAGTGTTGGGATTACAGGCGTGAGCCACCAGGCCCAGCTGGAGCAGGGGAGTTCCTTAAAGGATTCTCATTTCTCTCACATCCCTCATGTCCTTCCTGAGATAGGCAGGGTTTCTTTCAGTGCCTGTCTGGGAAGGGTGTTCAGGGGGCCTTCTCTCCAAGGCTCCATCCTGGAACAGACTGATGGTGCAGGATCCCTATGTGTCTAAGAAGAGTAGTGGGGCCGGGCGTGGTGGCTCATGCCTGTAATCCCAGCACTTTGGAAGGCTGAATCACGTGAGGTCAGGAGTTTAAGACCAGCCTGACCAACAGGGTGAAACCGTGTCTCAACTAAAAATACAAAAAAAAAAAAAAAAAAGAAAAAGAAAAACAATTAGCTGGGTGTACTGAGGCAGGAGAATCGCTTGAGCCCAGAAGGCAGAAATTGCAGCGAGCCGAGATCACACCACTGTACTCCAGCCTGGGCAACAGAGCAAGACGCTGTCTCAAAAAAAAAAAAAAAAAAGAGTGGGGGGCCCTGATCCCCTCCTCTCCTGAACCTCCTGCTTGCCAGGGCCCGGCTGATGCAAAGCTTTAAGGAGTCGCACTCTCATGAGTCCTTGCTGAGTCCTAGCAGTGCAGCTGAGGCATTGGAGCTCAACTTGGATGAAGATTCCATTATCAAGCCAGTGCACAGCTCCATCCTGGGCCAGGAGTTCTGTTTTGAGGTACTGGGTCTAGTGGGCTGGGGAGGGCCAAAGGAAAGGGGCAAGGGAAGGTGGGGGGCAGAGAGGTCTAGAGAAAGTGGCACAGGTGGGGACATCAAGGAAACAAACTTCTGGGACTGGAAGAAAGGAGGATAGGCCAGGGAGGAAGAGGAAGTAGCAGATTCTCCTTCCCTCTGTAGCCCTTTCCCTCAACTCCACACTCCTTTCTAGGTAACAACTTCATCAGGAACAAAATGCTTTGCCTGTCGGTCTGCAGCCGAAAGAGACAAATGGATTGAGAATCTGCAGCGGGCAGTAAAGCCCAACAAGGTATTGGGGAATAAAGGGGACATAACCTGTGCAGGGCAAAGGTTGTGCCAACATGGAAAGTTGGGGGCCTAGGGAGGAAAGTGAGTTAAAGGAGGAGAGGCTTGGAGAAGGAGAGGATTGAAGTACAGGGTACCTGGACAAGAAGGGGGAGACCCCCATTATTCTGAGTCCCCCATTTCTTTTCTCTTTCTGTACTTTCTGTACTGCTACCCTGCCTTACGATCTCTTTCCCTGCCATATAAGTCGTAGACTTACAGAGTTGACGGGGCTCTGGAAATCCTTTAGTCTAGCTTCCCTGCAGGCAGGAATGCTTCACTAAAACCCCGCAGGACACATAAAATACACTTAGCCAAGTCTCTGTACCTTGGTTTCCTCTCTAAGACAGAGGGAACTGTCTTAGGGTTGGATTAAATGATCTCTAAGTTCCCTTTGGCACATAAATTCTATGAGTCTGTGTTCTTCCCAAAACTTCATGCTTTCAGTTCTGTCAGCTATTCTCTGTATCCCAGTTTCTAGCAAGCTTACAGTCGTAGTCACCCTCCTCTGGGGGGAACTCTTGTGTCTTGATGTCCTTAAAGAACTCAACCCAAGATGCTGACATGATCTGACCTATGCAGAGTACAAACACCATGTTCTTTTTCCACACACTGCAATATCACCTGAGCCTTCCCATTAGCTTGTGCTCAATTGTATCCCCCCAGGCCCTTATACCAACTGTCAAGCCTTACTCATTCTTTTTTTTTTTTTTTGAGACTGAGTCTTACTCTGTCACCCAGGCTGGAGTGCAGTGGTGTGATCTTGGCTCACTACAACCTCTGCCTCCCAGGTTTAAGCAATACCTGTGCCTCAGCCTCCCCAGTAGCTGGGATTACAGGCATGCACCACCACACTGGACTAATTTTTGTATTTTTAGCAGAGACAAGATTTCACCATGTTGGCCAGGCTAGTCTCAAACTCCTGACCTCAAGTTGTCTGCCTGCCTCAGCCACCCAAAGTGCTAGGATTACAGGCATAAGCCACCACACCTGGCCAAGCTTTACCCATTCTATATACAATTCTTTTTTCACAGTTTCTGATAGTCTCTGCAGGACTTTCCAGTTCCCTTTAAATTCTACATTAATATTTTTGGCTTGTTATTCCAGCTTTAAAACTCTTTCAAATACTGTTTGTGTTGTCTAGTGTATGAACTACACTTCTAGAGTAGTTTCCTGGGGCTGCTATAACAAACTGCTACAAACTTGGTCACATTAAACAACAGAAATTTATTCTTTCACACAGTTCAGGAGACTGGAAGTCCAAAAGCAAGGTATCAGCAGGGCCATGCTCCTTTTGATGCTGTAGCAGGGAATCCTTCCTTGCCTCTTCCTAGCTTCTGGAGGTTGCCAGCAGTCCTTGGCATTCCTGGGCTTGTAACTGCATATGTCTAATTTCTGCCTCCATCTTCATGTAGCTGGCTTCCTTTTGTGTGTCTCTGTATCCTGTATCTCTATGTCTCCAAATCTCCCTCTCCATATAAAGACATCAATTTTTATAAGGTGGATTAAGAGTCAACTCTAATTCAGTATGGCCTTTTTTTTTTTTGAGATGGAATTTCGCTCTTGTTTCCCAGGCTGGAGTGCAATGGCATGAGCTCAGCTCACTGCAACCTCCGCCTCCCAGGTTCAAGTGATTCTCCTACCTCAGCCTCCCGAGTAGCTGGGATTACAGGCACGTGCCACTATGCCCAGCTAATTTTTTTTGTATTTTTATTAGAGACAGGGTTTCACTATGTTGGCCAGGCTGGCTCGAACTCCTGACCTCAGGCGATCCACCACCTCAGCCTCCCAAAGTGCTGGGATTACAGGAATAAGATACCTTGCCTGGCCTCTTCTTAATTTGATTACATTTGCAGGGATCCTGTTTCCAAATAAGATCACATTCACAGGTTCAGGGTAGACATGAGTTTTGGTGGGATACTGTTCAACCCAGTACACCGTCTCACCTATGATTGCTGTCTGTATCCCACTTTCTTACTGTCTCTCCTCTTTTGGTGTCTCTCTGTCCCTTCCCCCTTTAACATCATGCCCACCCCACCATGCCAGGACAACAGCCGCCGGGTAGACAATGTGCTAAAGCTGTGGATCATAGAGGCCCGAGAGCTGCCCCCCAAGAAGCGGTACTACTGTGAGCTCTGCCTGGATGACATGCTGTATGCACGCACCACCTCCAAGCCCCGCTCTGCCTCAGGGGACACCGTCTTCTGGGGCGAGCACTTCGAGTTTAACAACCTGCCGGCTGTCCGTGCCCTGCGGCTGCATCTGTACCGTGACTCAGACAAAAAGCGCAAGAAGGACAAGGCGGGCTATGTCGGCCTGGTGACTGTGCCGGTGGCCACCCTGGCTGGGCGCCACTTCACAGAGCAGTGGTACCCTGTAACCCTGCCAACCGGCAGTGGGGGATCTGGGGGCATGGGCTCGGGAGGGGGAGGAGGTTCGGGGGGCGGCTCAGGGGGCAAGGGCAAAGGAGGTTGCCCGGCTGTGCGGCTGAAAGCACGTTACCAGACAATGAGCATCTTGCCCATGGAGCTATATAAAGAGTTTGCAGAGTATGTCACCAACCATTATCGGATGCTGTGTGCAGTCTTGGAGCCTGCCCTGAATGTCAAAGGCAAGGAGGAGGTTGCCAGTGCACTAGTTCACATCCTGCAGAGTACAGGCAAGGCCAAGGTGAGTGTTGTGCCCTCAGGGAAAGGTGACTTGGGAATGGGCACTTGCTTGGGGGTTAGTGAGGACAGGGCAAATTCACGAGATTGGGTTGTGCAGAGGCTGACACTTGGATTTTCCTGGGCCTCAGGACTTCCTTTCAGACATGGCCATGTCTGAGGTAGACCGGTTCATGGAACGGGAGCACCTCATATTCCGCGAGAACACGCTCGCCACTAAAGCCATAGAAGAGTATATGAGACTGATTGGTCAGAAATACCTCAAGGATGCCATTGGTATGGCCCACACTTAGGCCCTCTTCTTCCCAAACCTGCCAGATGTCCACCCCAAATCCCAAGTCCACCCTTCCACAGCTTGATACTTCCTAACCCAGAGTCCTAGGACTCCAGCCTCCAACACCTGATTCTGAAATTTCCCCAACCCTGGCCACCCCCTTCCCTGCCCTTGAAAAGTGTGACCACACCCTCTTGTGCCGCCACCCCCCAGGAGAGTTCATCCGTGCTCTGTATGAGTCTGAGGAAAACTGCGAGGTAGACCCTATCAAGTGCACAGCGTCCAGTTTGGCAGAGCACCAGGCCAACCTGCGAATGTGCTGTGAGTTGGCCCTGTGCAAGGTGGTCAACTCCCACTGGTGAGACTGGGAACGCTGGGCTGGGGGGCCAGGGTCGGGGGAATTATGTGTTCATCTGTTCATCTATCTGTCCATCCTCAAAGAGGACTGAGAACCATTTATGGGCAAAGCATTGTTCTAGGCACTATAGAGCAAACAGGTGAAAGAGGCCTGGTCCCTGCCCTCAGAGGGCCTCCAGCAGAATGAGTGGGGACAAATTAGAAAAAAAAAAGCCACAGAGTCATAATGGTGTGTAAGTTCTGAGTAAGGGTCCCCCCACCTCTGTGTGATAGAAGGTCAGAGAGAAGGCAGAGCTTTAATTGAGATAAGCGGGGAAGAGGTGCCCCATTGGGTAGGCTTTGAAGACTGGTTTAGGTTCTGATATGTGGACATAGTTGGCAAGAAAGACATTTCAGAAGAAGGCTGTGAGAAAGGCACATGTGTGATGGTGAAAAGGCCCAGGAGTTATCAGGGGACATTAGAGTAGCTTAGTAGCAATTACATCAGGTTTAGTGGAGCATGTGCCTCATGATGGGGAGTGGTGGGAGAGATGTCTGGGCAGGAAGATTAGCTTTAGAAACTGGAAGGCCTCAAGGAGTCTGAGGTCATTGGTAGGCCTTGGGATGCCATTAAAGGTATCACAAGTATTGTGATTTAGAAGATTAATCCATAGGCTGGGCACGGTGGCTCATGCCTGTAATCCCAGCACTTTGGGAGGCCGAGGTGGGCAGACCACTTGAGGTCAGGAGTTCAAGACCAGCCTGACCAACATGGAGAAACGCTGTCTCTACTAAAAATATAAAATTAGCTGGATGTGGTGGTGCATGCCTGTAATCCCATCTACTTGGGAGGCTAAGGCAGGAGAATCGATTGAACCCAGGAGGCGGAGGTTGCAGTGAGCCAAGATCACGCCATTGCACTCCAGCTTGGGCAACAAGAGTGAAACTCTGTCTCAAAAAAAAAAAAAAAAAAAGATTAATCCATAAGTAGACTATATGTAATAGAATAGAGGGGTGTATGTGGGGGGATGACTGGAGTAGAGCCAGCTGGGGGTTGGGAGGCATGAAAGTCAGATCCTGAATCAGAACAGTGACAGAGTTAGGAAGGAGCTACTGGATGGACCCTCTGAGGAAAGGATCAGTAGGAATTGTCAGCTTATTGGAAAAGAGGGAGCATATCTGCGGGGAGTCACGGATGACTCAAGAGGCCATGAGGCTGGTGATTGGGAGACCTGTGGCCTCATTGACAACCAGGAAAGTCAGGAGGAGGAGCCAGTTGGAGGTGTGGGGGCGGTGGTGAGCTCTGCTTTACACCAGTCGAGTTTAAGGTGTCAGTGGGACATTGAAGTGGATCTGGGAGGTGGGGGGAGTGAGCTCTGAGCCATTCCAGGGACTGGGGATCATGCCTGGGGCACCTCCATCCCCATTTCCCTGGAATCCAGAAGAGTTGGGGGGTCCGAGCACCCTGTACCTCAAGTGACCCTCCATCTCTCTCCCATCTCTGTCTCTCCCTGGTGTCTGTTTTTCTTCTCCTCCTCTCCTTGTCTCTCTCCCACACCCCTCCATCTCTCTCCCACGTGTCTCTCCCCTCACCTTCTCTCCCCCTCCATTTCTCTCTCCCTAATCTGTCTGTTCCCTCTGCCATGGCCCCCTTCTTCAAGCAGCCTCCCATCTTGCTCCTGCGGTCCCTCCTTCCCTGTCTCTCTCACCTCTGTTTCCACACCCTCACCTCCTACCACCCCCCTCAGCATGTTCCCTGGAAGCTGAGGGTCTCTGGGGCTCAGTCCCGGTCTCTCTCTTTCTCTCTCTCTCTCTCTGTCTCCCCGCCCCTTCCCCCCAGCGTGTTCCCGAGGGAGCTGAAGGAGGTGTTTGCTTCGTGGCGGCTGCGCTGCGCAGAGCGAGGCCGGGAGGACATCGCAGACAGGCTTATCAGCGCCTCGCTCTTCCTGCGCTTCCTCTGCCCAGCGATTATGTCGCCCAGTCTCTTTGGGCTTATGCAGGAGTACCCAGATGAGCAGACCTCACGCACCCTCACCCTCATTGCCAAGGTCATCCAGAACCTGGCCAACTTTTCCAAGTGAGGGAAGCTTCAGGAGGGGGCAGGGCAGGGCGTGGCAGGGCTGGGGGTGGGCAAGAAGGGTCTCCTGAGTCCCCAGAGATCCTGAGATGGGGAGGCTATGACACCTTCTCTGTGTGTGTGTCTGTGACCTTTATCTTCTGGATTCTTGGCTAGGTTTACCTCAAAGGAGGACTTTCTGGGCTTCATGAATGAGTTTCTGGAGCTGGAATGGGGTTCCATGCAGCAGTTCTTGTATGAGATCTCCAACCTGGACACGCTAACCAACAGCAGTAGCTTTGAGGGTTACATCGACTTGGGCCGCGAGCTCTCCACACTGCATGCCCTGCTCTGGGAGGTGCTGCCCCAGCTCAGCAAGGTCAGCAGATACCCTCTTTGCCCTATCCCCAGATGACTCCAGAGGTTCCTGGAGCCTAAGAAACTACCCTTTGAAGATTTTTTTTCTCCCCTTGTTCCCCGAGGTGTCACCACTACCATCCCAGCTCAGACCCCCTCCACCTGTACCCTCAGAGGCCCTCTTAGAGCTGGGCACTGAGCCCCCAGGTAACAGCCTCACCCTTCCAGGAAGCCCTCCTGAAGCTGGGCCCACTGCCCCGGCTCCTCAATGACATCAGCACAGCTCTGAGGAACCCCAACATCCAAAGGCAGCCAAGCCGCCAGAGTGAGCGGCCCCGGCCTCAGCCCGTGGTACTGCGGGGGCCATCGGCTGAGATGCAGGGCTACATGATGCGGGACCTCAACAGGTGAGCACCCTGGGACAGCCAGTCCTATGCCCTAGGAGCCCTTCTCCTGTTCTAGATACTCCTCATTGGGCCCCACACGCATCTCTCTAGGGCTTGAAAAAAAGGAAAAAGCACCAAGTTCTCAGGGAAGACTGGTAAGGAGACAGGTACAGTCAGTGGTAGGCTGAGAGCCCTTTACAGCCTGAGGGAGTGAGAGATGTGGAGCTTTAGGAAGAGGGCTGAGGCTCCACCAACTCACGGCTTAGTTGTAAGCCTAGAGCATCCCTGCTGCAAGCTCTGATTTGCTGTCCCTCTGCTTGCCTATGCTTGTCCCCAGACTGAGGTTCAGCCAGCACGTCATGTCAGCTATGTGTCAAAATATTCAAACATCTCAGTAATAGCTAGTGAATAAGCACTTCCCCTAGCCCCCAACCAAAACCTCACAGACCTCCCCATGATCCAGCACTTAGAGCAGTGGCAGCAGAAGCCTAGTAGGGCCTGCAGCCTGCTCCAGAGTCCCAGCCTCAATTCCCATGGGTGGTGCCTGTGCCTCATTTGCTGCTCATTATTTTGATGATGGCCCTGCTTGTTCCTCTGCCCGTGTCTTCCTCCACGACACCATACCCATGCCACCATTCCCGCCTCTCCTTTCATTTGTCCACATCTTTCTCCTTCTCTGTCTGTGCTCGCCCCTCTTTCCATCTCTCTCCAGCTCCATCGACCTTCAGTCCTTCATGGCTCGAGGCCTCAACAGGTGAGGGGCTCTCCCCTCCCCCGCCCTCCTCTCCTCTCCTGTCTGTTCCCTCTCCTGCTCCACTGGCCTTCGCCCTACTCCTCTCCTCCTCCATGGACCTCATCTCCTCCATATCTGCCCAGCCCTGTCCCCATTCCTTCTCTTGCTGCCCCCATCTCCCCTCCTCTAGGCCTCACCCCCTTCCTGGAGGGGCCCTGTCCTTTCCCTTTACCCACCTGTCCCCTCCCATCCTCCCTGCCTTCCCTCTTCAGGGCTGCCACTGCTAGCTCTCAGCCCTTCCCTCTGGGTCCCACTTTTCACCCCAAGGCCTATGCCAGACCACAGCAAGGCTCAATTGCTAGGAGCCCCAACCTTACCTTCTGCTTGTGTGCCCCCTTCCTTTCTGACAGCTCTATGGACATGGCTCGCCTCCCCTCCCCAACCAAGGAAAAGCCACCCCCACCACCGCCTGGTGGGGGTAAAGACCTGTTCTATGTAAGCCGTCCACCCCTGGCCCGTTCCTCACCAGCATACTGCACGAGCAGCTCGGACATCACAGAGCCAGAGCAGAAGATGCTGAGTGTCAACAAGAGTGTGTCCATGCTGGACTTACAGGGCGATGGGCCTGGTGGCCGCCTCAACAGCAGCAGTGTTTCGAACCTGGCAGCCGTAGGGGACCTGCTGCACTCAAGCCAGGCCTCGCTGACAGCAGCCTTGGGGCTACGGCCTGCGCCTGCTGGACGCCTCTCCCAGGGGAGTGGCTCATCCATCACGGCAGCTGGCATGCGCCTCAGCCAGATGGGTGTCACCACAGACGGTGTCCCTGCCCAGCAACTGCGAATACCCCTCTCCTTCCAGAACCCTCTCTTCCACATGGCTGCTGATGGGCCAGGTCCCCCAGGCGGCCATGGCGGGGGCGGTGGCCATGGCCCACCTTCCTCCCATCACCACCACCACCACCATCACCACCACCGAGGTGGAGAGCCCCCTGGGGACACCTTTGCCCCATTCCATGGCTATAGCAAGAGTGAGGACCTCTCTTCCGGGGTCCCCAAGCCCCCTGCTGCCTCCATCCTTCATAGCCACAGCTACAGTGATGAGTTTGGACCCTCTGGCACTGACTTCACCCGTCGGCAGCTTTCACTCCAGGACAACCTGCAGCACATGCTGTCCCCTCCCCAGATCACCATTGGTCCCCAGAGGCCAGCCCCCTCAGGGCCTGGAGGTGGGAGCGGTGGGGGCAGCGGTGGGGGTGGCGGGGGCCAGCCACCTCCATTGCAGAGGGGCAAGTCTCAGCAGTTGACAGTCAGCGCAGCCCAGAAACCCCGGCCATCCAGCGGGAATCTATTGCAGTCCCCAGAGCCAAGTTATGGCCCCGCCCGTCCACGGCAACAGAGCCTCAGCAAGGAGGGCAGCATTGGGGGCAGCGGGGGCAGCGGTGGCGGAGGGGGTGGGGGGCTGAAGCCCTCCATCACCAAGCAGGTAGGTGAAGGCAGGAGGAAGGCGGACTGGGTCACGACAGGGAGGGAAGAAGGAGATTGGAGGGGTGGGGTTGGAACAGAGTCTGTGGCCTGAAGTTACAATCTTCTTGCTTCCTTTTGGCCATTAAATGTGTATAGAGGGCCTGCTATGTGCCATGTGCTATGCCAGGCACTAAGGATATGGCACTGAACCCTCTTAGCACTCTCATTCCAGAGGGGATTAATCCATAAGTAGCGTGGGGGTGACTGGGATAGGGCCAGTTGGGGGCTTGGAGGCATAAAAATCAGATCCTGAATCAGAACAGTAACAGGAGAAATTCTCTGGCATTCAACTCACATCTCTGGCATTCAGAGGTGATAAAGGCTACAGCAGGGCAATAGGACTGGGACTGTCATCTCCTTTGGCTGTGCTGTTTTCCTCTAAATGTACCCTGCTTTTTCCTACCTTTCCTTTCTCTGTTCGCCCTCACTGTGCCTTGTCCCAGCATTCTCAGACACCGTCCACATTGAACCCCACAATGCCAGCCTCTGAGCGGACAGTGGCCTGGGTCTCCAATATGCCTCACCTGTCGGCTGACATCGAGAGTGCCCACATCGAGCGGGAAGAGTACAAGCTCAAGGAGTACTCAAAATCGATGGATGAGAGCCGGCTGGATAGGGTACGGTGGGCTCTACCAGCTCCAAGCCCCAGTGTTTCCTTTTACCCACAGGGGAGATCTCTAGTCACTTCCAAGGGAAACCTCCAGGGTCAGGTAGTTATGGTAGAAAGAAAAGGCAAAGACGTGATTACCTCTTGAGAAGCCTTCAGTCCATCTGGGGAGACCAGATACACACAGTTGTTAAAAGTCACTTTCAACTCTATTTTGTAGGTTATATATATCGTAGACTATCTGGGGATCATCTATTTTAGGCTTACCTCCATATTCTTCCCCAGGAGGCACATAAGCCCTGGCTCCTGTGACTGCTTAGGAAAGGAAATGTTACTTTACTGGCAGTAGGAGCTAATAAATTGGGTGGGGATGGAGGGGGATGCAGTTATATTACAAGTGATGTCTGGCCTACCCAGTCACTGTCCCATGGGCATAAGTTACTCAGTGGGCAGAGGATGCATGTGGTAAAGTAGTATGTATTGGTCATGTGTGAAAAGGCCATCCGGACCCTCACTTGGTGGAGGCTGAGGGCAAGGGGCACCAAGAGCTCTGGGGCACACACAGATAACTTAGCAGAAAGTTACTTGAGGAAGCTGTTGCTCCTAGGGCCTAAGGAAGAGGGTGGCTGCAGGATTAGGTCATATATATAAACAACATATGACCCTAACATGGGGAGTGGTTTTTGAGCATAGGAAATGTGGGGACTGACTCAAATGGGCTTGACCAGCAAATTTAATGAGAATTAAGCCCTAATATTAGCCCAAACGCAGCCACCGTAGGAAGTTAATTCACGTCTCTCCTCTGCATGTAGAAGGGTTGGTGATACATGTCTGTATCCTCTTCAGAGAATGAGGAAATAGTCTTTTGAATCATTTTTTTTCTGTTCTGTGCTTCAGATGAGGAAACCTTGTTGAGAAAGGCTGTAGACTAGCACTATCCAGTATAACTTTCTGCAGTGATGAAATGTTCTGTAATCTGTACTGTTCACATGTGGCTAGTTGTGATTCAGGAACTGAATTTTTAGCTCTATTTAATTTTAATTTTGTAATTTTTTTTAGACAGGGTTTTGCTCTGTCACCCAGGCTGGAGTGCAGTGGTGCAAATGTGGCTTGCTGCAACCTCTGCCTCCTGGGCTCAAGGCATCCTCCCACCTCAGCCCCCTGAGTAGCTAGGACTACAGGGTCGTGCTACCATGCCCGGCTGGTTTTTCTTTTTTTTCTTTTCTTTCTTTTTTTTTCTTTTTTTTGTAGAGACGGGGTTTTGCCATGTTGCCCAGGCTGGTCTAGAACTTGTGAGCTCAAGTAATCTACATGCTTCAGCCTCCCAAAGTGCTGGGATTCCAAGTGTTGAGCCACCGTGCCTGGCCTAAATTTTAAATAACTACATGTGGGCTGGTGGCTCTTACATTAGACAGCACAGCTGTAAACTCTAGAGCCAATAGGGCAGATAAAATGACTCTTCTGAACTCTTCCAGCTCTGGAATTCCTAGATTCTCAGTCTAGAATTCACTTGTAGACCCCCTATCCTTGGCTCCTTGACAGAGCCAAGGAGAGGGTCACATGGAGGACAACACCTGCCTTTCCCCCATCAATTGCCTTTTCTTCCTGTGTCTCCAGCATGTGTTCTGGGGCCTGGCTTAGGGCTGAAGAGTCACCCTATTTTTAATTTCTGAGCACAGTTACTCAAGGTGTGCTTGTGAGTCTAGGTTTCTGTGTGGGTCTTCATGAAGTGCCATACATAGACCTTAGGGTGTGAGAGTCTGTGACCTTGCTCTATTTTGAGGGAGCCTCAGCACCATGGCAGGTTCTTCTCAAAAGCAGGTGTGTGGATATGATCCACAGGCAGGGAAGGGGTTGGGGAAGGCAGCTGGATGTCCCTTACCATGCAGTGGCTGTGCTCAGCAGACAGGGATGGAGGCTGGGTGGTGGGCTTGGGGTGGGGCGCCCCTCACAGTGCGGGGTCGTGTGCCCGGCGGGCAGGTGAAGGAGTACGAGGAGGAGATTCACTCACTGAAAGAGCGGCTGCACATGTCCAACCGGAAGCTAGAAGAGTATGAGCGGAGGCTGCTGTCCCAGGAAGAACAGACCAGCAAAATCCTGATGCAGTATCAGGCCCGACTGGAGCAGAGTGAGAAGAGGCTAAGGCAGCAGCAGGCAGAGAAAGATTCGCAGATCAAGAGCATCATTGGCAGGTGAGGGGCGGCCTGGGGAGGGGGTTGTGAGGGAGAGCTTGAGGCTGAAGAAAGCAAGTGGGCGAGCGACTACTGACTCCCATCCCAAACTCAGGAGCCCACCAGGAGAGCCCACCACTCTCCTCCCCGGGAAGCCACCCACCCACTATCACCAGATGGAGAGAAACCACAACCTGCTTAGTGCATTAAATATCCCTTTACTAAACCCTGACCTCTCTTGTGATAGAGTAGCTTCAGAAGCCCTTGGAAAATGTACCTGTTCCTGTCCAACCATCACTGCATTTGCATTCACCCTAGGCCAGGACTCCCCACTGGTTATTCTCAACTTAACCTGTGATGTTCACCCCAAACCTAAGCAGGGCTCCCTAGCCAGAGTAGCCCCTGCCCTTCCTGGGCAGACCCTCCCTCTCTAGCCTTGGAAAGGTGTTCTGTAGAAAGGGTCTTTTAGCCTGTATTTTTTCAGCTGCTCCAGCAAGCCCTGGGCTCCAAAGAGGGTATCCTCAGCAAAGAGGTCAATTACCTTCAGAGTGGTGGGGTTGCGGGGAGGGGGTTGCCCCTGGGCCCCGCTCCAACCAGAGCCACCTCTATTTTGATCCATTCTAAATGTATTTTATGTAAGATTTAATTAGAAGAAAAGGACTTCTTGAAATATTTTTTTAAAACCACTGCTCTAATTAATATCCTTTATGAGAAATCACTTTGAGGATCTTCACAGTGAGGTGACATGGGGGATGCAGAAGCCAGGTCCTCAGCCATGGAAGGTCTGGGGAAGGGGCACTACTGTCCTGATTGGGAAGATGGAGGCCTGGAGGTGTCTGGATGGTAGAAGTCTTTGAGGCACAGAAAGCTGCCTTAGCAGGGAGGTGTAAGGGTTCCTGGGAGGAAGGTGGAGAGCATGATCCTGAGTAACAGGGAGTCTTGTGTCATGGCAATGGAGGGACTCTGATTCTAAGGGATAAGGATGCCTGAGGCTTTTCCAGAGAGCTGTGGGGTTCCATGGGCAGGCTCTGAGCCTGTGCCCGCCACTAACCCCACTGAAGCCCGTCCCTTCAGGCTGATGCTGGTGGAGGAGGAGCTGCGCCGGGACCACCCCGCCATGGCTGAGCCGCTGCCAGAACCCAAGAAGAGGCTGCTCGACGCTCAGGTGGAAATTACAATGTCATTTATCTTCTCCGTGTCCCATCCCCATCCATCCCACTGTCTTTCGTGCACTCACTACACCAGCCACCCAGCCCCATCACCATCTGTCTCTCATAGTCTGCAGTTTGTCCACTGGCTGCTCCTGGCAGCCCCCTAGTGACCCCATCTTCATTCCATCGTCTGTGCCTTTGTCACTCCTAGCAGCGTCAGCCCAACTCCTGTGCCTTCCCATCCAGTCTTCCCACTCCTGTCTGCATCTCGGGACCTTCTCTACCAGAACCTTGGTCTTTCTGCCCCTAGACCCCACCTAGTTCCGTGAACCCCTGCCCCTTCTTTGCCCACTTCTATTCAACGCATGTTGTTCAGCTTCCTCTGAGCTCTTGGGCCAGAGGGCTAGAAGCTGCTATTTTCTGGAATAGAGCACAGGGCAGTATGATCTGTAGTTTCCCTAGGCCCTGGCCGGTACCCTGAAAACTTGGGGATCCCATCACCTCTGTTCTCTTGGCTCCCCAATTTTCCTGTCTCCTTGGCAGCTCCTGCATAGCTTCCTCTTCCTGACTCTTCAGATCTTGAAGGCCTTCCATCCTGTAACCTCCCTTTTCCCTCAGAATTTAAGTCCAGGCTCCCTTTGGCCTCCCTCCGGCCTCCCTCCCACTCTGGCCCTCACACCTTCCCAGCTGCCTGCTGCCCAGCCTCTCTTCTCAAAAGCCAGCTTCTAGGACCTCCCTTCTTCACCCTTACCCCTTGCTTTCCCAAAATTCTGCTCATTTTCCTACCCATACTCCTCTTTCCTCTGCTCTGACTGCTAGGCTCCCCCTGCCTGCCATGCCCCCACCAAGGCTCCTGACCCCATGACCCCACTCTCTCCCACTGCAGCTCCTCATCAGGTAATTCTCCTGGTTCCGCTTTGGCCACGGGCGGAGGACACAGGGGGAGGTGACTCCGGACCACTGCAGGTTGGTCATGAAGCCCACTCCCTCCAACACCTCTGGAGCCTCTCCCCTCTCACTGCTGCCCTCCACACCCAGAGAACCTCCACAGACTCCAGCCCTCCGACACCTCCTGTACAGACCTATCTCCCAAGACACCACCCAAAGACAGCATTTGCTGCTGCTTCCCAGAACTGTCCAACAATACCTTAGCAACACCAAGAGTTGGGCCCTAGATGGGCCCAGCACATTCACAGGTCACATCCACTTCCCTGCAAAACCTACCCCCTCCCAGCCTCCTCCTGACTCTAAGCCCTCCTCTTCCTCTACCTCTCCAGTGTATGTCTGTCACCCCCCATTTCACCAGAGTGTCCTTAGGGGCTGGGGGTGGGTTTGTTAATGGGGTGGAGGCGATGATGGGTTGGAGGACCTTGGCTATAGGGGCTGTGCTGACTGCAGCAGGTAGGTTGGGTTTTCCTTTTCCTTCCCTAACATTGGTTCTCTACCCTCCTTTCCACTCCTCACCTGATTCTCTCTCTTCCTCCTCCTCACATCTGTGAGGCAGAAGGCATCTGGAGCTCATATTGGCCCCTGTTGGGTGGGAATTAGGAGTGGGTAATTAACTCAGGGAGACTTGGGATACCCTGGAAAAAATGCTATTGAGATGTCCTGACATTAGGCACGGTGGGTGGAACAAGAAGGAGCAAGAAAGGAACCTCAGGCAGATGTTAGGACATGGACTTGACCATGTGGCCTGGGAGTTTAGAAATGGGGAGAGACATCCTCCTAGATCAGATCGTGGGCTCAGTAGGCATGTTGATTCCCAGGCAGAGGTGCCAGGAACAGCATGGTAAAGAACGTACTCTCAGAGCTCACATCCCCAGGTTGCTGATGCCACTCACTCCCCCTCTCCTGCCATTGAGTGGCCTTGCCGGACACATAACCCTACCTAAAAAGCCAGTAAATGAGAACCTGTCAGCTACAGACATTATTTCTGAGATGCGATTTTCTTTGGGATTGAGCTGTAGTGGGCAGTGGCTCCTTACACTGTAATTTTAACTCTGTCTGCCCAGCCTCTCTGTCAAAGTAGCTGGTGATCTATAAACAGATGCTAAAAGGCACCAGGGGACTTTGCCATTTAAAGGACTCCTGCAGTGAATTCTTTTGTAAAATGGATAATGGCACCCTAATTTATCCACTTTCTAAATTTGGGTCTATGGGGGTGTCCGGGGCATGCTTATGTGCTGTCACCAGCAGACAAACAGGGAATAGAATATGGGGGTTCCTTTCCTGCTCTCCCGCCATACTCAGGATACCCTACCATAAGTGATTTCCTCTCACTGACTTGCAGAAAATGTGTGAGATACCCAGCAAGCTAAGAAGGCAGTTTTGCTGGGTATCTCATACCCAAGGCTGGGGTTTGGGCGACCTGAGAGGTTAGGTCCTTAATCCTAGGATGGAAGGGAGAGCTTACATAGAAGCTTTTACTTGGAAGGTTTTGTATCTTAAGGTCAGACATAGCTATATTGCCAAGCCTAAATGCCATGTAGCCCAAGTAATAATTTGGATATTTGTTCTAAACCACTTGTGGTAGGTATTGGTCCCTCTGCAACTCAGCCATTAATTAAAAATTAGTTCTGAGCCTGAATTTTAAAAAGCCAAGTGTTGCCCCCAGCGCCCCCCCAACACACACCCGGATATGTACAGTACAAACCCCAGATAATTACAACAGCCAAAGAAGAGAGAAGGAAGTGAATTTCCCAACCAGAAGTGTAGGGAAATTCAGATGGCTTTCTTTTCTCCCAGCAGAGGAACAGAACTAAGGGCAGGAACCAGGAGTTGGTCCAGCAGCTATAGGAGGTGATGAGAGTAGGACCAGGGGTAGGAGTTGGGTCTGGTACCCCTCACCCTCTAATTGGGAGCCCAGGGAGAAGGACTGAAAAGAAGATGGGGGTGGAAAAGAATAAAGCCGGCTTCTGCTTCCCAGGGATGCAGAGATTGGGGCATGCTGTGTCTGCAGAAGCTCCTAGTCATTTCTGCCATAATTGTGAGAGAGAGGGGCAGCCCTCCCATAAGATTTTTCCCTTCCCGTATCACTTCCCTGAATCCCCTTCCTCTCCCCCCAGTACAGTAAAACCTCTCTCTAATTTGGAATGTTATATTTGAGAAGATGGCCACTGTGAATAAGTGACAAAACTGAATGACAGTGTCTATTTAATGAAATGCATGTCTTCAAAATATATACAGTAAGTAGAACTTGATGAACAAGGCTTTTTCCACTCCTCAGGGAGCATGCATTAATGAATAGATATGATTCAAAAGTCTGTTTTCTGGTATGGGTTAAATATCCCCTCCTACAGACATATTTCCACCACTAATTTGCTTAGTACACCTTTTCTTCACAGATAAAGGAAAACTCAAGCTCAGTTTTTGTTCAAATTACGAAGAAATTCCAAATCCACAGGGGTTTGGATTAATGAGGTTTTTCTGTACTGCCTCCCCTTATTCCTCAACATGAAGTTCCCCACCTAGGATTGGGGATGGGTGGGAGGGGGTTTCAAGAGGAGGAGGGTGGAATGGGCAGGAATATACATAGGTGAAGCCAGAGAAGGGTTAGGTTGGGGGTGCGGTGGGAACTTCCTGCTTTGATCTGGTTTCCTGGTGTGACACTCTGGGTTAAAGGCTTGAAGGCCCCTGTTAGGAGTCTAGGGGTGAGATTCTCTTCTCTCTGATCCCAGAGGACGTTAACTTCTACTGCAGGTGAGAAACAAAATAGGATGGTGGGGACTGTCCTGGGAGGAGGAGGTGGTCCATGGCTTGTGGTGTGGGCTGGCTATAGGGGAGGCCACTGCTAGGGGACTGGCATCCAGGCCCCCTTGAAGCGTCTCAATAAGTCCGCGCTCTCCTTTTTGGTGTCTTGCAGGAGAGGCAGCTTCCCCCCTTGGGTCCAACAAACCCGCGTGTGACGCTGGCCCCACCGTGGAACGGCCTGGCCCCCCCAGCCCCACCACCCCCACCCCGGCTGCAGATTACGGAGAACGGCGAGTTCCGAAACACCGCAGACCACTAGCCCACCCAGCATCACAGACCTTCTCTTCCTTTCCTGTGCACCCCACCCTGTAACAGCACCAACCACCAGGACTGGACATCACCGAGGAACAGCGGGATTGCCTCCCCGAATGCCTCCCTGGGAGGCACACTGATTGCCCACCCCCCCCACCCCACTGCACCATTTCCAGGAGGGAGAGCGGGGACCCTCAGCCGCCCCCTTTTCCTTCCCATTGGGGTGCTGCCCTCTCTTTGACCCCCAGGGACCCTTGCCCCAGGACACCGCCTACCCCACACAGACCCCTTCACTCCGGGGTGCTATCCCCATCCTCTGCCTCATCGTTCCCCTGAGCACTGGGGGACAGACCCTCACCCCCACCCTGGGGGTGTGGCACCTCCAAACTTTCAACTTCAGGGTGATTTTTTTAGCAGTAACCAGAGCTGACAATCTAACTCCCCTCCACCGCCCCATTTTGGCCTCCCCTGCCCCCCTTGTTATGGGGAGGGGACCCCAGGTGAGGGGGCCCTATTACCCCTTGATTTCTCAGGAGCGTCTGGGGGGGCTCAGCACGCACAAACTCCTCCTCCTACCCCTCTTAAATTTACTCCCTCCCCACCCAGAACCCAGATGGGGTGGAGGGGGCCACCGGGGCAGGGAGGGGGCGGCAAGGGGGGAATGGGAGTTGTCTCCCCTTCTCCCCACACCTGATCTGCTCTCGGCTGGTCCCAGAGCGGGGTGAGGGGGCTTATGCCCCCCCCTCCCCCAGTGTGTTGGGTGGGGTGGAATTGAGGTTAGGGTGAGGGGTCAGGGTTTAGGAGGGTGTGTATGTTGGGAGGACAGGCTAGTTGATCTGTCCTACTCTGACACACAGCCCCCCGTGCCGCTCCCTTCTCTCTTCTTGGTCTCTACTCCCAGGGGGAGGGGGGAACTTACTCTAGGAAAAGCCATGTCTCTCTCCCCCGGGGTGGGGGGACCTGTGTTGGAGGAGGGGTGTTGGGGGGCCCCCTTCCATGACTCTGTCCCCTGGGGGAGGTAGGACGGGGCTGGGCTTCCCTCTCATCCTCCCCCTCCCAATCTCCTTCCACCTCCCTCCCTCCCGCCAGCTCCACAATTTTTCGGTGTTTCTCTGTACATAGTTCTCTGGCGGGATAGGGGAGGTAGGATGGATGGGGTTTGGGGTGGGTAGGCCATGGGAGGGGAGAAGCCCCTCCTTGGCACCCCCTCTTCCCTGACTGCTGTCCCCTACCCAGCCTTGCCCCCTTCATCCTTTTGCGTTTGGTATTGAGACTCTCCTAGACTCTACTCTTTCTTTTGTATGGACAGTTACCCTTCAGTCCTATCCCCCTACACATACACCCAGCCGGGGCCAAATTTATACTTATATAAAAGTTGTAAATATGTGAAATTTTATCCCTGTGCCCTTTCCCCACCTCAGGCCCTAGCCCTGGACCCTCCCCAACCTTCCTTCTCTCTTCTTTGGCTGTTGTAATTATCTGGGGTTTGTACTGTACATATCCGGGGTGTGTGTGTGTGGGCTGGGGGCAACCCTTCTGTACAGAGCTTCCTGGCCCCCTCCCCCCCCGCCCCTCTGCTTCCCTCCCCACCCACTACCTTAAGGGTAGGGAGATGCTCTTCCTACCTGTTTTATTTTGTTTTCTCGTTCTCCCTCCCCACCCCACTCCCAGCCTTATCTATCCCCTCCTCGCTGTCCCCTTTTCTCCACTCCCAGCCCCATTTCCTTTTTTTCTGGAGTGTGTGGTGAAACAGAAAAAAACATGTTTAATAAACGGAGATTGTTCTTTTATCGCTGTGCCGACTTTCTTAGGCAGGGCTCTCCAGACAGACCTGTACGGTGGTAAGATCTGCTTTCTGAAAGGAAGCTGACAGCCTGAGACGAAAACCGTACATCCCCACCTGATGCCACACTCTCCTCATAAAATGTCACTCTCCCCTCCCAATGAGAGTTTTTATATTTTAGAGCAGGAGTTTTGCACTGGCCAAACTTCTCCAGTCTCTCCCTCCCCTCACCACTGTGTCACTTAGTCTGAGGCCAGGAACAGCGGCGTTATCTGATAAAAGAATTCATGTATATATCCACATTTATCTCTTTTAAAAATCACCTAGAAGTAAGGTTTCTTTAATTGCTGGTTAAAATGCTCCTATGCAGAATAGAGGAAAGAACCTGCCTAGTTCCTTAGCAAATCTGAGTTCCAGTCCCAGGTCTACTACTATTAACTGAGTGACGCTTCCAGCCCGTTTCCCCCGCCTGGAAACTGAGGACGGCAACCCCCATCCTCGCAGGGCCGGTGGGAGGACACAAGGTGATGTGGGCAAGTGCCAGGCCCACACGGTAAGTGCCCAACTAATCTTGCCCCTCTCAGGACCTACCGGGGGCGGGTGCTACACTTAATCACCGGGAAACGCAGCTTTCCGGGGCGGCTGACGGCCCGCCCCCTCCGACCGGGCTGTTCTCTCCTGGGACCTGGCTCTCGGTCCTCTGTAGCGGCGAGGACTTCGGCAGCTACCCCGGACGCCCGATACGCTGGCACCCTGGGCCAGCGCCCTCCTACTAGCACCGCCCTCCTCGTCTGCGGTAGCCAGTCAACACGAGGCTTGTAGGCTGCCCTTCCTCGATTGGCTACGCCTCTAGCTCCGCCCGCCGCACTTTGCGACGGCGTCCGGCGGGGAGGCGGCGGCTTCCGGCCTGGGACGGAGCTGTAGCTGCACTGTAGCTGCGAGGGCAGCGCCGCGTGTGTAACGGCGGGGGCGTGTCGGCGGGAAGGACAGCCGGGCCGGGACTCCCGGTGTCCGGGTGACCGCGGTTTCCCGGGAGCAGGCCTCTGTGGGCACTGTGAGACGGAACGGAGCGGCGGGGCAGGAGCTGTTCTGGGCAGGTGAAGACAGGCTCGTGGCTGAAGGACCTCCTTCGCATCTTCCACAGGGGCTGGAAGTTACAACCCCGGTTGGTGTTTGGTGGTGGTGGTGGTTTGTTTGTTTTTGCTTTCTTGGTGTGCTGGACTGATTTGCAGAAACCGCCACTGACTTAAAAGTTTCCAGTTATTGCTCGTGGGGGGAGGGGGTTATTTGAAAAGATGTGGCTCCCTTTATCCAGGGCTTCTGTGACCTCCATCTTTTTCCTCTGCAGCCTTCATCCCGCGTGGAGTCTACCCCCAGGCCCCTCTCCTCTTCCCAATTCTTCTCACCTTCGAGGAGGCCATGGAAACCCCAACGCCTTTGCCGCCCGTACCCGCCTCCCCGACCTGCAACCCAGCCCCACGGACAATACAGATCGAGTTCCCGCAGCATAGCTCATCGCTACTGGAATCTCTGAACCGCCACAGGCTAGAGGGAAAGTTCTGTGATGTGTCCCTCCTGGTGCAGGGCCGGGAACTTAGGGCTCATAAAGCAGTATTGGCTGCTGCCTCTCCTTACTTCCATGACAAGCTGCTTCTGGGGGATGCACCTCGTCTCACTCTGCCGAGTGTCATTGAAGCCGATGCCTTCGAAGGGCTGCTCCAGCTTATTTATTCAGGGCGTCTCCGCCTACCACTGGATGCTCTTCCTGCTCATCTCCTTGTGGCCAGTGGCCTTCAAATGTGGCAAGTAGTAGATCAGTGCTCAGAGATTCTTAGAGAATTAGAAACTTCAGGTGGTGGAATTTCAGCCCGTGGAGCAAACTCCTACCATGCCCTTCTTTCCACTACATCCTCTACAGGAGGCTGGTGCATTCGCTCTTCGCCTTTCCAGACCCCAGTACAGTCCTCTGCTTCCACTGAAAGCCCTGCTTCCACTGAGAGCCCTGTGGGAGGGGAGGGAAGTGAACTGGGAGAAGTGCTGCAAATTCAGGTAGAAGAAGAAGAGGAGGAGGAGGAAGAAGATGATGATGAGGACCAGGGGTCAGCCACACTCTCTCAGACTCCTCAGCCCCAGAGAGTATCAGGGGTTTTTCCCCGTCCTCATGGACCCCACCCACTGCCCGTGACTGCTACTCCCCGAAAGCTTCCAGAGGGTGAGAGTGCACCAGTTGAGCTTCCTGCCCCTCCTACTGCACTGCCCCCTAAAATCTTCTACATTAAGCAGGAACCCTTCGAGCCTAAGGAGGAGATATCAGGAAGTGGAACTCAGCCTGGAGGAGCAAAGGAGGAAACCAAAGTGTTTTCTGGAGGGGACACTGAAGGGAATGGGGAGCTAGGGTTCTTGTTGCCTTCAGGGGCAGGGCCAACATCTGGGGGAGGGGGTCCATCCTGGAAACCAGTGGATCTTCATGGGAATGAAATCCTGTCAGGGGGAGGAGGACCTGGGGGAGCAGGCCAGGCTGTGCATGGGCCTGTGAAGCTAGGGGGGACACCCCCTGCAGATGGAAAACGCTTTGGTTGCCTGTGTGGGAAGCGGTTTGCAGTGAAGCCAAAGCGTGACCGGCACATCATGCTGACCTTCAGCCTTCGGCCTTTTGGCTGTGGCATCTGCAACAAGCGCTTCAAGCTGAAGCACCATCTGACAGAGCACATGAAGACCCATGCTGGAGCCCTGCATGCCTGTCCCCACTGTGGCCGTCGTTTCCGAGTCCATGCCTGTTTTCTCCGCCACCGGGACCTGTGCAAGGGCCAGGGCTGGGCCACTGCCCACTGGACTTACAAGTGACTGCTGAGGCTATATACTAGCTTCTAGAATGAAATAACCACTGCTGCTGATGGGTACTTTTCCCTCACTACCATGGCACACCAGTCGTGGATCTTGTAATCATGCCAAGAGAATAGATACATTGATACATTATGGACCTCTTGTTCTTAGATATGGGCCTCTCAGCCTGGCAGATGTGGAAACTCAAATTTCTCATCCCACTCCAGGTTTTGGCTAGCCAACCCTGCAGGAAAGCGGTTTATAGGCCATTCATACTTAAGTTGATCACTTGCCCATGGTGGACATTTTTGTAGTGGTGATGTCCATTAAGGAAACCAGATTTTCAATTATTTAGTGAGAGAAGAATTAGAGCAAAAGACAGTGGTAAATGTTTTATTCCGTCTCCATGAGGAATTAAAGGAGTTGGTCTCCACCTACAGATACATTTGATTTAGAGCTTGAGTAATTCAGAGGCTAAGCTCTAAACTTTTTTCTCTCTCATTGCTGGAATGATTTAAGCAGAATTCCTTTTGTATACTTTTAAAATTGTATCTTTCCAGGAGCCCCTCAGATTGTACCTTGCTTTCTCACCAGTAGACACCTTTCCAACACTTTTTTAATGTTGTAGTTGAGCACTTTAACAAGTTGAGCATTCCATGTTTCATTCTTAGAACCTTCTTTAATAGAGGGTATTCCCTCAACAGCCTGTGCCTCTGGTCTACCTTTGACCACCACTGGTAACTCATATATTGGTCACAATGACTAGAATGTGACTAGTGATCTCAGGAGATGGCACTGTCCTAAAGTGCTCTCAGGGTGGCACCACTGCTCTCTGAACAAGTTGCCTTGGTCAGAGGGACTCAGGTTTGGGACAGCACAAGCTGAAGGCTGGCGAGTAACTTGCATAATAGGACCATACCTCTTCCTTTCCCATCCCAGCCACATATGATAGACAGCCCCTCTGTGGAGATACGGAGGGGATAGATATTGGAATTGGGTGTGGGACTTGCAGTTACTTAAAATTTTTGAATAAACTGTGCCCTGAAACCTAAACTGATAGTGGACTGGATTGAGTAATTTTTGTGGGGGAGAGAGTGAGAACGGAGCTGCAGAGCCTTGGATGTATTCCTTAGGTGGCTAGGTTATGTTGATGGGGAAGGAATGGGATGGTTTCACACTGGTGCCAAGAACACTCTTCTGGACTTAGGCCCTAACCTGTTACCTGATAACCTTGAGTAGGTTGCCTGCCTTTTTTTTTTTTTTT